GAGAGAGAGAGAGAGAGAGAGAGAGAGAGAGAGAGAGAGAGAGACAATGAGCGCGCTGGTGGGCACGATAGAGTTCGAATCGAGGAGAAGACAAGGGCTTCTAGGAGGAGGGGTAGGGGGGGGAGGGGCCAACATGATAGGAGTAGGGCTCGGCGCTGGGACTACTGCATCACTTACCGGAGGAGATTATGGGAACGTCTTCAGCGACAGGGATATAGAAGAGCTGTTCTCGTATATCGACTCTGTCCCTGTGAGCGATCTATCCACCCTCCTCCCTCTCTCTTTCCCATCTCTCTTTCTTCCTCCTTCCCTCTCTCTTCCAATTCTTCCCCCCTTTTTTTCTTTCATACTCAATTCAACCACTAAAAAACCTTTTCCCGTCGCTACCAATCCATCTATCAGCTGCTTTCCTTAGTACCTACCTTGCTATCTTTTTCTCTTTTTTTTTTCCTTTCTTTCTTTCGGTAGACCCTTTCATCCACCATCCCCCCTCCTCGCGCGGCCTTCGGGTTTCTCAGCAAAGCCCATGCTTTTTAACTTTTAACCGCGGTAAAACCCAGCGGTGCCATGCGTTTAAGTTTTAACTCGAGTAAAGCCCAGCGGTGCCATGCTTTTTAGTTTTAACTCCAGCTGAGCTGTTGTCAACTTGCAGTAGTGTCCCTAGATACGAACGGATTGCGGATCTTCACAACAACGCCCATGCGTCTTATTCGAGGTAGACGAAGGGCAGGGTGACAATGGCACCGCTGTGCGAGGGTAACGATGTACGAAAGTCCTATCGCCTCCTCCTCCTCCTTCTCCTTCTCCTCCTCCTCCTTCTCCTCCTCCTCCTCCTCCTCGTCCTTCTCCTCCTCCTCCTTCCTTTCCTTCTGGAAAGCGTTCTGCCTTGCCTCCTCCTCCCACCCGTACTTCTCCTCCCGCTCCTCCTCCCCCTCCCACTCCTAGTCCTATACGTGCACCTCCTCCTCCTCCCCTTCCTCCCACTTCTGCAAGTCGTTCTGCCTCTCCCTCTCCGCCTATTCCTACGTCGACTACTACTACAGTTGCTTGCTCCTCCTCCTCCGCGTCCTGCTCCATCTCCTACGCGATTTCCAACTCCTTTACTTCTCCTCCTCCTATTCGTACTCTGCCTCCTCCTTCTCCTCCTCCTCCTCCTCCTCCTACTTCTGCAACTCGTTATGCCTCTCCTCCTCCTCCTCCTCCTCCTCTGACCAGAAATATAGCTTTGAGACATGCCGGTTGCTTGCTTGTCTTGGGCATCCTAATCGCAGCAGTAATACCGTCTTCCCCCGAACACAACGTACCCTTATTTTGGTTGTATTTGACCAGAAATATGGCTTTGATACATTCATTATCAGGGTGCGTTATGTTCGGGGGAAGACGGTAGTCATTCCTCTGCTCGGCCCTGGAGGGAATCCAACCGTCGATTCCCGATTGTCTTTATCGAACCTTTTTGTCGTATCCGTGTTAACTTTGTCGTATCCGTATTTTCTGCCTCGTTTCATTTACCTTCGCCATTGGGAACATCGAATAGAATGCTCTCCTCACTCTCCTGTACGTATCTGTGCCGCTCGTTTTTTTTTTGCCGTCATCGACCCGTCGATCTTCTTCTACATAGTCATGCCTGATGTTCCGTTGGCTTGAGCCCCGTTTGGAGATAAGCGATGGCTTGAGCGGCTTTGAGCCCCTGCTACTGCTCAGCGTGGACGTCTAGAGATGACCAATTTGCCATAGGTTTCTTTTTTTTTTTTTTTTTTTTTTT